ATTGAAATCCCTCTATACATGTGGAAGTTTTGCTCCGGACAAGCATTTTTCAATGAGCTCTAAGTGTGACCTTGACCTTTGACCTAGAGACCTGGTTCATGTGCGCGACACTGCTCCTCATAGTGGTGAACATTTCTATGAAGTTTCATTAAAATCCCTCCATACATGTAGGAGATATGCTCCGGACAAAATTGGACGCCGCCCGCCCGCCAGGGGCGTTCCCATAATCAGTGATTTTTTTACAAACTCATCAGTGTGGGTCCTAGGACTCGCTGGGCTATCAATCTATGAGTCCCAAAATTTAGCCGACAAATCCAAGTTACAAGGCTTAATATTGCTTTAGTGATATAAAAGGTATATTAACAATGGAATGAAGATAAAATGAATTTGATTTCTACATTAATTACAATGCTTCTGTTACTAAAATTATTCAAACCTGTCAAATAAATTTAATAAGTTTATTTCCATTAATTTAGTTTGAGATTAATCAAAACTTCATTTTCCTGAAATTTTTTATGCTTATCTATAGTATAGCACATTATTATTTTTTATCTGTAGAAGATTTGCAAACATAACTTGAACACAATTTGGTATTTATTACCAAATTCCTGTTAGACGGGACTCCCTACTCAGAAAAAGTATGCATCCAAAAGATGCACATTATTTGAAACTTTGCATCCACAGCAAATTCAATGAGTCCTGGACTCAGGATGCAGAGGTAAATAAATCACTGCATAATACGTCCCGTTTTTCAAACGGGCGTATAAAAAGGAATGGACCGGACACAAAATATACCCTATAACAGACTATGTTAATCTTTGAACTCCAAGTGTGACCGTGACCTTGGAGGTTGGTGACCGATTGTTGCGCATGACACATCATCTCATTATTGTGAACAATTGTGGCAAGTATTTACAAAATCCCTTCAAAGATAAGAAAGTTATGGACCGGACACGACATATACCCTCAAATAGACAGTGTTGACCTTGAATGAGCAAGTGCGACCTTGACCTTGGAGGTAGGGGTCCAGTTGTTGCGCATGACACATCGTCTTATTATAACAAACATTTGTGCCAAAGTTATTTCAGAATTCCTTCAATAAATGACAAAGTTATGGAACCGGACACGAAAGTGTGATGGACGGACAGACGGACGGAAAGACGGACGGAGCCTATTTCTATATCCCCCTTTTTTCTTCGAAAAGGCGGGGGACAAATATGAATTGATTCAAAATTGATTTGTTTATCAAATGGTATTTTTTATTTGACCCGAATTTGATTAAAAAGTGTTATTTTAATATGTTTTTATGTACGGCACACGAACCCTGCCAAAATTCTGGTAGCCTTTGCAAATAGGGTTGACGCATAACATTACTGTCGCACAACGCAAAATAAAAGAAACATTAAATTTTGGGAAAGCAAAAAATAACCTTCTGTAAATTTTTTTTTTTATGGCACAAACAGCCCTTTAAAAAACCCTTTAAAAATTCTATCGACATAAAATACAAATAAAACAAGCCAAAAACGTATAATTTTATTACAAGAGCTGCCAGTAAGACAGCATACTCGACTATTCTCGGTGCTTGATAACAAAAGCCTGAATAATGAATTTTCCAAGTCCAAAAATGTCCATAATTCTGTCAAAATCTATGTTAGAATTATGGTCCTTTGAAAAATGCTGCCTATCATGGTCTCAAATAAGTGTGTGAAGTTTTCAACCTATATATTCCTTTTAGTAGTTTTTGAAGTACAAGCTTTCACACAAAAACTTAACAGAAGTGTTATGGCATTGAACCCTGCCAAATAGTGGAGTTTATACTATGTTTTTAATATACATGTATAGTTTTATACCCTTTAATTAAACTTCAACTCTTAAAAAACAAAATTGACAAAGAAATGCTTAAGTTACCAAGAAGACATTTTATTCATTTAAAAGTCTTAATATATCTCCATATATCATATATTTATAGCACTACTGACAAGCATATAACACAATAAATAAAATACATACGAGGGTTGTCCCAAAAGTCCGTGACAAATTTTATAGCCGGTTCATTTTTAACGCCAATAGAAAATAATTCACACATATAACCGTTAAGTTTATTATTTAACATTGCAACAAAAAATTTACCCTAGTTACTTAGAAATTTTCAGTATTAACGACATTGGTTTGAGTTGCCGGCGCACGTCAAATAATTTACATTTTGTTATGAATAGGCTGTAATTAATTACGTATATTTCAAATATCTGATGATGTGTCTGCACAATGTCACGTTGACTTCCTCTGCTGCTATGTTTAAATCATCTCTGAAAACTTTAGTTAAATAACTTAAAAAACGAAAAAGATACGAATAAATGAAAATATCTCATATAAAATAGGAAAGTTTAAATGGCGACGTTCGAAGAATTTGCGGCGCAGTGAACATGTCACTCAGGTTTCGTGACTATTTCGAGATGACACATGTAACGATTTTCAACAATTATACCAAATATAACAGTTTAGCAACATATTCTGAGCATTTGTGTACAAAAGGCATGAATGGAACCAGAGTTTTGCGCTACAAAAAGCGAAAATAAGGAAAACACGGATAGGAAGACCGATCTTCGTCGCCTATTCCTACAGCTAAAAACAGGAGTAACGAGACCGGAAGTTCGCGTATAGCAAAAATTAATGTATGCCATCCAAACATTCAACAGACATTAACAACCACATGATTTAAGTCAGAAATTGACGATTTATGGGTACCATTATTGCGTTGAAAGCCATTTGAGAGTATTTGAGAAAGGCGCCTTATATAGATTTAACGCCGTCTTTGACGTTGGACGTGCGCCGCGATTCAGTTAGTTGCCATGGTGTTTATGGCATATTTTTGTTGTTTGTTGATATTTATCTATGAAAATTTGTAAAAATGTTTAAATTATATGGGTTTATAACATATTAAAATATCAAATTCGTACCTGTTTTATTTAGCTTTTAATCAATCTTGTCACAGAATATTGGGACAACCCTCGTATTTTGTTTATCCTTTTAATAATGGATTGTCTATACTCAAAGCAGGGGCAAATCTATTTTAATTAACAAATTCAGCACTGTAAGGGATTATTAAGAATTTAGATATAAACAATCTGCTAAAGAAAACCAAATTAAATCCAATAAAGCTAGCCTAGCAGTACACACACACACTTTCAAATAATCTTTTTAAAGATGTACAGTCTCGTTAAACGAGTACCTTAAATAGAACTTAAAATATACTGATATGCAAACAATTAAAACACTGTGAGAATTTCCAACATCAACTAAAATTACATTTTGCTATTTTTATAACATATTATTGCAAATATATTGTAGCACTACATCTTCAAGAAACTAGCATCTAACATTGAACATTCTTTAAACCCATTTAGATGTTAGAAAGCTCATGCCTGCCCTTTTTAAAAAAGCAAAGATTTGATTCTGAGGCATAATGTGCCTTCATTAAAGCATTGTCACCTTAGTGCATTAATGGGTAAACTTCCTATTTGAAACAATACTTGTTAACCAGTTACTGCACTAAGGTGACAAGATATGTTTGTAAAACATGTATGCCCCCTATGGGCAGCCAATTAGTCATGTGATAAGGTTATCATGACTGACTTTTGACCTAGTGAACAAAAAATCAATAAGGGTTATCTACTGGTCATAACTAGTCACAAGTAATTATTGGGACCACATATGTGCAACAATTTTATAACAAAGTTATTACAAATCTTACCAAATAATATATGCATAAATTTTATGAATCATATAGGCCTCATTAATGACAGCCAAGTTGTTATATTACATAAGACCTTCAAATGTGTATACGAAAAGCATTTTTAGTTTAATATAAAAATATCAACCAAGGCAACTTGAGTTGTTGAGTAATTGGTCAGAAACTGTCTTTAAGTACAAGGTCAATATGACACTGATCCTCTGACCCCAAAATCAATAGGGGTCATCTACTGGCCAAGACCAATGCACCTACAAAGTTTGAGGGCCAGCAGCTATGGGCTTGTCAAGTTATTGATCAGAAACGGTTTACACCTACAAGGTTAATTTGACCATTGTCCTCCACACCCTAAAATCAATAGGGGTCATCTAATTGTCAAGTCAAATGCACCTTCCAAGTTTGATGGCCAACAGCTTATGGGTTTTTAAGTTATTGATCGTCAACTGTTTTTACCAACAAGATAAATATGACCTTAACCTTTGACCCCTTGACCCCAAAATCAATAAGGGTCATCTACTAGTCATGAGCAATCATCATACCATGATTGAAGTTCCTAGGCCTAAGAGTTCTTTAGTTACTGATCATTAACTGTTTTTACCTACAAGGTCAATGTGACCTTGACCTTTGACTCCAAAATCAATAAAGGTCATCTACTTGTCATGACCAATCATCATACCAAGTTTGAAGTTCCTATGCCTAAGTGTTTCTTATTTATCACTCGGAAACCATCGACAGAAATTTATGCAAAGCAATATTCTCTTCTTTGACGTGGGAGCATAATTATTAATTAACAGTTAACAGTTAATGTTGTATTATTTTGTTTAACAAATATATATGAATGTTTTACAAAGGTTTGAATAAATTTTTCCAAATTTTTCATTACAGCTTACATAATTTCAATATTTTAAAAGACATTTGTTGTTGTTAAAAGAGAATCATCTGCATTAAGAAACTTTTTCGAAGATTCTATAAAATCAATATTTATGACACACAGTCCTCTGAATTCATTTATTTTCTGTTCCGATATCTACATTGTGCATATCACATGACTGTATGTCAAATAATTATGTTCCAACAGTGTCTCGGAAAAGTAGTTTTAAACATTTCAGTTAAAAACTGACCTAAACTTTCACTCAACATCACAGAAATATTGGTCAACCATAGGTGACAACACTGATGCATTGAAGGTTTTTTACTTTTTCGTTTCCCATTAGGTTTTGCCTTTCTAATTCCGTTTTGCCTGAATCGTCTCAGATTCGACTGACGTTTCAATTTCACTCGCAATTTCTTAATTCGATCTCTTAACTTTTTACTCGCCTGTCTATCAAATTACTTTTTATCTGATCAGTTGTTCCTTGCATTTTTCTCCTTTTTACTTTCAATTCTGCTCTCGAGTCCTTTGCTAGCACACGAAGACTTGAACTCTTGTCTTTTGGTTGCATTTTACCGACGACTTTTCTTAAGTACTTTATGGCAAAGTTTGTACCTGTTAAAGTAACAGTGTACCGAGCAGGTGTTGCAAGCTTGTACATAAGGTATGCCAGAGCTACGTCCCCTAAACTGGAGTTTCTAAATGGGTTTTATCACTTTGTCCGGAAGCCCAATCCATTCCATTAAAGGAATTACATCTACACCACTGTAATAAATGGAGAGAAAAATGTCATGTCTTTTTTTATGAATCTTTAAAATCTAAAATGTGGTAACATATAATTATGCACATGGTATCAAGCTATATTTAACTTTTTTGTTTTGTTAAAGCCACACACAACAGGTCATATGGCTATTTTCCAGCAAGACCACAGTTACACCTTCGAGCCAATCTCATTATGGATGTACAACTACTACAGGGAGAGAATTCAATGCATAATGTAATTATTGGACAATGCAAGTTACTTCCCATAGTTTAATAGGCCAAAAACATTGAAAGTGTTTGATAAGTGTACATATTAAATAATAAAACAAAATTATAGTACATTTAAGATACAAGAAATACATCTATCCAAACGGTATAAAAAATTGTTAAAATTATAAAACTGTTACAGGTAATTTTTCTGTTTTTGGGTATGAAAAAGTATGAATGTAAAGTGAGTGACTCAAAAGAATTAAAAATCACATTTTTTTTAATTTTTTTTTTTTTTTTGGTAGGATGGAGGGGGCGGGTCGGGGTCACGGGGGATGGTAATGTTACACCAACACATAAAAGATATAGGTCATTAACTACCTTCCTTACTAGCGGAGAAGACCTCATGTGTCCCTCGAGATCTGTGAATTATTTCAAGCAGTTTAAAAAGGCTCCAAATATTTTCTCCATTTGGTAATTTTATGACACAAAATTTTCCAAACTGGGTTAGGGACTTTCTCCCTAAATGGCTAGGGGAAAGGCCTGAAAAATGGGATATATCTAAATGTTTAAAAAAAATTTAGAACATTCAATTACTTTACATGAACATATTTAATGAAATGTAAACTATGTTTTTCATAATGTTAGAGAAACACAATGTGGTTGTACTTTCTAGAAAGTGGTTAACACAAAAACCTATTTTCAATGGAAAAAAACACACTTGAATAAGTGACATTTAATGTTCTCTTATGTTCATGCTGAAATTCTTGCCAAAATGGGGGTTCATACTTTGACCAGTCAAAAGCTTGAGTATTTTACATATTAGTCAATTTCACAACTTAAAAATACATATTATGTATATAAACAAAAAAGTTTTAAAGAGTGACAAAAAACATTGTTGCACCTGCATACACATTGCACAGATAAATTGCAATAAATATAGGGGGTTGTGCACTTACAGTGTCTGTAATTCATACATTAATTAAATAAGATAAAATTTCACCTCTGACAGAATTAATTATAAAACATTTATTCACTGACCTCCAGATTGTGATATTTATTATAAATATAAGTATCCCTATTGTAATGATATCTTACAATAGACAGGTGTACAGAATACATTTCTTTATACACATTTTCATAAAGAAATGCCATATTAAACTACTTGCATATGAAATTCTGAATTATTTTCTTTCCGATCTATCATATTCAATATATATATAATTATCCTGACTTTGTAAATGGCTAAATATCCATTCTAACATGACCAGCATTTTTCCCTATTGAACATAGAAGAACCGAAAGTGTGTGTTATTACGCAAAAAAAATCACTGTTGAAATTCTATATTTAGACATAATTATGACGTAATTATTATACATGTGATGTAACCACTAAAAATGTGATGCGCTGAAAATAAGCACGGAAACAAATCATGTGCAATTTAGCTTAATAATGGTTTGACAGCATTTATTTGTTGGTGTTGTGTTAGAATCGAAGTAATATATCCAAATTGGTAATTTTATCGCTTGATAAAATCACTGCTTGTCGTTCAGATGCACATCCATATATATTACTCGGGCTACGCCCTTGTGATATAATTCCTCGAATCCAAACTCCAAACAGTGATTTATTGAGCTATAAATCACAGATTGGGATATATTATTTCTTAAATAACTTACACTTTTGCTGCATAGAAGAAACTTCCAAACCATACTGCGGATGTTAGCAGATGCACACAAACTAGAACCTTCCCATGCTCTTTGTATGTTTTCTTAAACCTCTGGAAAACGGTCAACTTCTCTTCTGGCACAGTTTCTGACTTAGCCTCGGTACTTTTATCAGATTCAACCTTGTCCTTTGCATCTGTAGCTCCACCATTGATACCTTTCTCTTTGTTGGAATATAGAACTGTTCGAGAAAAATGAAGATATCTGAACTGTGAGCTTTCCAACAATGCGGTTCTTGTCAGAGTAGATTCCCTCTTGTTTGAGAAAAGACTTGAATGTTGATGATGATCTGCAAATAAAAGGTAAGCTTGATATTAATCTATGAATTATGCATGGTTTTAAAGCTTAACATGATCAATTTAAAAGATCTCTGGAGAAAACCATTCATCATTTTTATGGAAAATTTCAAAATATATATTTATTGAAAAGTAAACAGTGCTAACCAATATGATACAACTGATCTTGGTCTGCAATAGTTGCATGAATTTTATGTGGCACACAAATTTTTTACCAGGAATTTTCTTCATTAATTTTGCACAAGGCCACCAAGCATGCCTGAAGTATGGGCCTTGGACAGTGACATTCAATTAAGATCCAAAAGATATGAAAGTTTAAAAATGCATATTTTTTCTACATCAAGGTCAATTACTCTACAAATCCTGAATAAATCCACACACAAACCACTAGGTGCTGACCAGCATTTCTGTAAAGTTTCATGACTCTAGGTCAAATAAGTTTGGGGCTGTAACACGCCACACAAATTGAAAATAGCAAATTTTTACTGCACAGACAGTTAAGAAAACAGTATTCATGTGCTTATAACTTTTTAACAAATTACTTTTTGAAAGATATTAAACCCTGAGATTTAATGACTTTTGTATTCAATATAATTTTATCTAAGTACTAAAAATAATAATATAAGGCCACCCATAAATACGTGTATATACCTGTTTGCTATTGCTGACATATATAATTAGTTAATTGCCGCAGGCATGCAGTTAAACTGCATGACATAAGGAAAATCTTTTCCCTGGTTGGTCACTCTTTAAATGGTAACACCCTAATTTTATGCACGGAATGCCCTCATGAATGATCAATCTTTACGATATCACACTTTACATGCTAGTTTTCGTAGTTAAATGTGTGATTTTCCTTCCGATTTTTTTTTCCAGCGGATTATTTTGTCAACTGCCCTGACTGATTTAGGGGAAATAGAAAAGAAATTTAATTTTTTTAAGCCTAAAAAAACTTTTGAGTCTGGGCTTTTCGGCGGGTTGGCTGGCAATAGCAAACAGATAAATTTTCATGAGTGACCTAAAAAATAATAATAAAATCAATAAAACATTTATCTCCACTCTTAGTAAGGTTTGAATCTCCCTAAATGACTCCTTGACCAAAATATTTTTGTGTTATTGAGTGATCAAATCATGCATGCTCTTTTTTGTTGTATTTCTTTTACAAAATGTTATGTTTTTTCCCTTTAGAGTTATCTTTTGTCAGAAACTGTTATATATAAATTAATAATTGCTAAAATAAAATAAGTTACCAAAAATATTGAATGTAATTGTATTTATTCATTTTTTGTTTTTGTGTCTTTTTTATATTTCAACCAATTTTTACATATCCGAAATAAAGTTTATCCGAAATTCCATACAATTTCATGAATGAAATCAATGATTTTTGATCAGCTATAGTGTAGGTTTTAATAGATTTTGCAACAAGATCATTTATACAAATAAATTCTTTCTTTTCTGAACTTTCATAAGCAAAATCTTTGAGTTTTAAAAGGATCAGACCTGTGACTTAACCAGAATGTGTCAGAATAACATATGTTGTTCAGTTTATTTAACCTTATTTTTCATTTGCAATACCCTTTTTGAATTTCCAATTAATTCTTATATGTATTATACAATAAAACAGTTATTTTAATATTGTTTTTTTAACATTTCAAGTATCAAATTATTAATTCCATAATTGTGAAACAACAATTACACCAGTTGACATTCGATCGCCACGGGTAAAATGATCCAAGCCTTAACTTGTGAAAATTAGGAAAATTTTCCAAGCTGGACTTTTCTGTAACTGAATCTGTCACTTACACAATTAAATTATTATGACGTCGACTGCAAAAGTCTAGTTATAGCTTGCATGTTTATCCGATTTAGCTGAGATGAAAAAGAAGTCAATTTCACCAAAAGTATTATATCCCAAAAACGGGAAAAGTGATGGTGTCAAATCTGCCCATACAGGGGGGACTGTTTATCATTAGCCAATTAGAGCGTCTCTTACTGTAAATTAACTGATAGCTTGCATATACAAATTGAAAAGTGCAAACTGTGACTTCAATGGTCTGAGATGGATCGATTACATGACAATTAACTTACATAAGTTACAAGGTATTCATATAATATGAGTGTGAGATATATTAGACATTTTGTTTATTGATATAGACATTTCAATGCACTGTCAATTTCAAGGATTAGCATAAGTTGGCCATTATTAACATTTGCTGAGAAAAAAAAAACAAATTATGGCAAAATATTATTATAACAAGGACTGATATAACTGTTGTGTTAATTATCATCACAAATGGCTAAATTTATTTAGCAAAACATGCCATAAACCACGGATTTAATTACAGCTGTGAATAATATAGAGCGGGTGAACCCGGATATCGTGTTTATTCGGATACTTTTTTATTTTCAAAGATAATTTTAGTGAAAGTGACATCAATTATATTTCAATTGCGTGATCGGAAACACACACATAAAATTTTCTTTCCCGGTTTTTCAAAGTTTTACAGCCGCTTAAAAAAATTAGAGAAAAAGTAAGCATCTTTCAGATAGGTTGTTTTAAATCAATTTCTTACTGGGTATGCTAAGGAAGATGTGAAATCGATTTTTGAAATTTATATTAAAAATGATGAAAATTTTAGGCAATATGAAAGTGTATAGCAAATAAGATCATTTTACTGTATATATGTGTGTATTGAGATGGCCTAAAGGCAAAATTCTGGTTGGTGACCAGGGCCAAAACACCGTTTTTGGGGAAGGGGCCTCAACCTTTTTCTTGGGGAAAATATGCGTGATTTTGGCATACTTTGGGAAACGGGGTCTCAAATTTAACACAAACTTTTAACAAGTTCTTCAAATTAGAAAAACAAAAAGCACTGGGAAATACTAATAAAGCAGTAAAAGACCTTAATTCATTGCACCATCATTTAATTTTGTTCTAAATTCTATGGGAAATTTCAAAACACTCGGGAATTTTGAGGACCAAACTGGGGAAAAAAAGAGGCTAGTTTGGTTGGGGAAGCAGCCTATATTCGGCCTCTACATAGAAGGGTTTTTTGGCCCTGATGATGTGGTATCCGTATGACCCGACAATATTTTCTTTTATTCTGCTCTTTCGGATACATTTTTTGGCATGTTATTTTTTTCATAGTACGTTAATATAATCATTGATCAAGATATACACCGTAGGGAACGTGTTACAGTATCGCGTTTTTCGGTTACAGTATAGAATTTTCAAGATGGAGGATTATTTATGGGAAGAGAGGTAGGTGATTTTTATTCAGGTCCATACTATACTAGTAGTTTAGTTTCTAAAAGATGTTTTTGTGCTTTGCTTGTAAGGAACAGAATCCGGTATCTAGTCATATATTTCTTCAGACCCTGCACCGCAGATTTATCTCTATATTATCTCATAAATGTGCAGATTTGACAGTTTAAAAATTTTAATCGAGAGACCAACGCATTTTTCTCCCATTCCGACATTATTTAAGCATGCCTAGATAAAGTAAATCTGCAAAACGTTAGTCCTCTATGTTTAGAAACGTTTATAAAAGTAAATGACCAGTTGAACCTATTTTCCTGTTGGTAAAATGCGTTTGAAAAAATAAACAATGTTACAGTATAGAGCGAGGTTAATTTTGAAGTGTTACAGCATAGACCTAGTGACTTTCATCCAATTTTGTTACAGTTTATACCCAGATTTTTGTTACAGTTTAGATACTTGCCAAAATTTCAAACAAAGTTCGTGTATCCATTATTTTTATGAAATAACTCATACTTTTCTATTTAATACATTCTTGAAAAGCTGTATTACTTTTTTTCTTCAGCAGAAACGTTATAGTTTGCTATTTATCTTACTTTAAGTTTCAGATTGAGACTTTTTGCAGAATAAGTAATGTCCTAAGTAAGGACTGTTTTCACGACAACAACAGTAACTTTTATCGAATTGTATTGAGAGAAGAAAGATAAGATATTGCTTGATATCATTACACATTATTATAATGCCCATTAGTAATAAAATAGAGAAAACATAATCCTTAACAGAAGTCCAACACAGAAAACATGAAAATGTTGCAGGCTCAGTTTGATTAAACCTGTTCATGGACGGTAGTGGTAACTGCAAGCTACCGTCCACGCCTCCTAGCACCGGCTTCAGCAGAATTCACATTAAACATGAACTGGTACACTTCAGATTTTTTAACATCTGTGGATGTGTTCATATGGCGGTTATCATGGAACCTTCAATGTGACACGTTATTGCCATTCTGTGAAAAGCGGCATATTACCCCCAGGTTAAAACTTGCGTGTGCCCTAAACGAGAATACAATGAGTGAAACTAAACAAAATGAAATTTTGAGAGGGGATCGGAGGTCATGAAGCCTGCATACCATAGATAAGCTGTCATAAAGACACAATTAACAGGCAGGCAATACCCTAAGAATGATTAAACAGTATTTAAGTGAGCAATACTACAACCTTTAATTTTATTTTATAAGTTGGAATTTCCATCTACCATAATGTATTTTGTAAGTATTTAAAAGGGTTTATGAATATTTTCAATTTTGTTGTGTTGGAATTTCTTTAGGGATTCTGTTTAACTCTATTTTGTTAAGTTTGGCTTTCTTGGATTTTAAGTTTCAACGACACTGAAGTCATGTGAAAACATTTCTGCTTTAGTGTAAAGAAAGAGCCAAGATACCCTTTGTGAAACATTAAAGACACGAGCGGGCACCTGACTAGAACCACCGACCTTCCGTAAATTAGCTTGATAGATTCCTCACATACAAAGAATCGAAAGTCATGATTGGATTTCAACTACAGCAGTAAATGAAAGATGATTAAATTTTGAAGTCGACGCCCTTATCCCGACTCTGCCACTATTATGTACTTCCATCAGGCTCACTAGAGAAAATATTGTAATTTTCTGACCTTAATTTATACTCTTTAATTTTCTTTTTCAGAAAATTGAAAACTGTTATACAGGATGTCTGAAATAAAGAAAAACGACTTTTAATTTAATAATGACAAAATAATCGTAACTTCAACAAAGAAGCATTCGAAATGACGCCGTGATCATGATTTGATTTGAATGCTTTTGGTTCGAGATGAGAAGGGTCTTTAAACATTGCCTTTTTTCAAAATCTATGTTTTGGGTTTTCGTATCCCCGATTGCAACCGAAACCATTTGAACAACTTAATTGGTAGAAAGTCATGTAAATTTCATCACATTTAGTCAAGTAGTTACTGAGCGGATTAGATTGCACCAAACATATGTACGACAGACGGACGACTAGCCATCGGGCCAATAAGCTCACAGAGATTTAAAAGTCTATGTAACATTCATACATTTTACCAAGTATATATAGAAAATATCGAAGTCTAAACTGTAACCGAAATCTGGGTATAAACTGTAACAAAATCGGATACAAATCGCTAGGTCTATGCTGTAACCCTGCACAAATTACCTCGCTCTATACTGTAACATTGTTTATTTTTTCAAACGCATTTTAAACGAACAGGAAAATAGGTTCAACTGGTCATTTACTTTTATAAACGTTTCCTAACATAGAGGACTAACGTTTTGCAGATTTACTTTATCTAGGCATGCTTAAATAATGTCGAAATTGAAGAAAAATGTGTTGGTCTCTCGATTCAAATTTTCAAACTGTCAAATCTGCATATTTATGAGACAATATAGCGATAAATCTGCGGTGCAGGGTCTAAAGAAATATATGACTAGATACCGGATTCTGTTCCTTACAAGCAAAGCACAAAAACATCTTTTAGAAACTAAACTACTAGTATAGTATGGACCGGAATAAAAATCACCTACCTGTCCTCCCAACAAATAATCCTCCATCTTGAAAATTCTATACTGTAACCGAAAAACGCGATACTGTAACACGTTCCCTACGGTGATATAGTTGCTTCACAACTGGTACAAACAAATGATAGTAACGAAGAGCAAGCATCAACACAAAAAGCTGAACTGCCTCTATCAATAATATTTATTGAAAATTCCTGAAATAAAACACATTACTTCTAAATTGGTTAAGAGAGAAATATTGCCAAAAGTTGTTACAGGTGGAGAAAGATTTTAATTGAAAAGAAAAGAAAGAAACGAAGCTAAAAAACGCATTTAGAAGAGAACGCAAAAGGTTGACAAATGGTTGGAAAAAATAGAAGAAAAAGCAGACCAACAACTCAAGTCTGACTTGCGGCGTGGCCGAGTTGGGGTTAACGCGTCGTACTAGTGAGGGTTCAAAACCCATCAGAGGCGAGTTCCAATCATTGCGCAGTACTGGTTGGTTCCAGTAACGGATTCGAGAGTGTTTCAATAAGCTTAAAGCTTCTAATACAATCAAACTAAAATAAATTTGTATAAACTAAGGCCAAGCAGATGCTTCTTGAGAAAAAAAGAGAAAGAATAAGAAAAGGTCTGTAAACTGAGACTGAAACAAGCACTGGCATCTCAGACACAAAAACACTCAGCTGGTTTGACCGTTTAACTCAGATAGTGATGACAACGATTATTTGAAAGATCTGTGTGATGATAGTGATGATTATGACTTTAGTCAATTCAGTGACAATAAATGTTACAATTGTGAAGGTGTTGATATAAAAGAAGGGCGGATAGGTTGTCAAAGGTACTTGAGATTTTTTTAGTCATTGATTTCAGTGATAGAATGACCGAGGAAGAGGTGCTAGAATATGCATTTCAGTTTTTGTTTTTTTGAATGAATTGATTGATAATATATCGCGAGGAACAGTGACAAGACAATTTAATTCTGTTATAGAATAAGGAGTTTGATTTATGAACATTTTCTGATAATTCCTAAAAACATTAATAATTTCTTTTAAATATTCACCAATGTTCAAAAGTCATAAAACGTAATCAACTTGTTTGATTGTATGAAATAAAGAGTGAAAATGTAATCAAATATGTATTTGAATTACATTTTTTTTAAGCGTGGATCAAGGTATCCGGATATAGCCTCCAATATCCAAAAGACCCAACGCTATGTCACGGGATGGTTCACGGTCTATACACATAAAATCATTGTATATAACAATTACAAGTAAGCCATATTGCCGGGCATAAATTTCCGTATCGAGCATATGCATTGAAAATCGTATCTTCCGGATACTAATAAATTTAGCGCTATTTTACCTTAAGTTTCCGAATATAGCCTCACCCGCTCTACTTACATATTTAATATGTGTGTCCATTGCATCAGAAAAAATTATTCCGTTTTTAAAAGGCAAACCCCTGGATTAGACTCTATGTATTTTTTCAGTTGTAAAACTTATAGATTTATAATAAACTAAAGGAAACGGCATGAACACTCCTAGTTTAGCCCCAGGGCCAGGATAAACTATCCGACTTTGGTGCCATCAGAAGTGTCACTGATCAATTGTACATTGAATTGTATCTATGCGATGAAGAAATCATGGTGTTATTAAATAAGAAAAAATAATACATAAGTTTTACCTTTAAACAACGATGTTACACTGATGTTACAAGGCGCCCTTGGATTCTCAAGATAAAAACGTCCCAGAAATGCCCTGGTTGAAAGTATTTTCGTCTGCTTGTATAAACATGATCTTAGATGACAGTGTGTGCCATATCAGACTCATTTACCTAGCTTTGTCGAACACAGGATAAAGATATCATAGTAATAAAACCTACGCTATGAGGAAATCAATGACAGAACGCACGTGAAATTTGACAAGTGTGTCCTTAAGGCTACCGAAAACGAACATGTGTTTTTACGACAACTAGTATGCTAAATGCCGTCCAAACCGTATCAATACCGGAAGAAAATATGTGCAGTTTCAGATGTGGACACGGCCCAGTCAATTTTCGTCCTTCTGTATTATATAGTAAATCTGTCACATTTAAAGCTTCATTCTGGACTTCTATTAAACTCAGGAGAATTCTGTATTTCATAACTTTAAACATCAACAATAGACAAGTTAGTCGAAGCCCGAAATGTCCTATGTTAGCCATCTAGATTTCACAATATTTCTGAATTTGTTTAGTCACTGTCAAATTATCAAAGTTTCAAATGTCATGTATGCTGGCGTGTAGTACTTATCGAATCCTTCCACCAAGAAATGAGATCCTGCAGAATACACAAAAAACTTTTAAAGTCATCAGAAATGACACTAAATGTACACTGTTACAATAAATACACTTAAAATGTAACCAGTCACATCAAAAATGACTTGAAATAGGACACTTCAAAATTTCAAAGAACTATTTTCTAGCCTACAACGGACTGGGTCTAATTCCGTACTGGGGATGAGACCATATAATATTTAATATTTTCTTTTATTGCAAGCCAATTTTACGCCTATATAAATATATATTATTATACATGTAGCAGGTTCTGTTTAGCATAGAAAACGATAGAATTTACATACTATCTTTTTCTTGAATACCAATATATGAAATAGAGGATATTGAATGAGTGTAGGTTTAATACTAAATTTATTGAACGAGTTGAATAAAATCATATTATGCGAGCCTCTGGCGAGCATAATATTGTTTTATTCAACGAGTTCAATAAATTTAATATTGAATCTACACGAATATAATATTCTATTTATCACATATATGAAATAAGAACGGTAAACTTTTAACAAGAGTCACTTTTATTTGACGCGCCTATAGTGGTAACGCTAACATTAGCGCGCTTTAACGCTATGTTTATAGCGCAAATAACGTGACGTCAAAGTGTTAAATTTTACACTAGTGTATTATCGTCTAGTGTAATATCGTTTTTATTAAATGGCTTTATTACACTCCTGCGCCGCGGTTTATGTGATAAATAAACAAACAGTAACAAATAAACAAGAAATATCATTGAAAATGATACCCGGCCGATGTAAAACCTGCTTAATTGCTTATGTTATTTCAAAATGTTCGATACTGCAGTACATATAGAACTATTAACAATGTTTGCATAACAATGACATAATAATTTCTTGTAGCTAAGAAAACAAGACATTTTGTAAACATAGAAATTAGATTATATTAAGCATATTGATATTGATGGTCTCTGCAAAGTATAACAATATATATATTACAGTATTAACAAAGGAGTCTCTATTACTTGTTATTACGTTTGGCTTTATAAATTTGTAAACATATGAAATATGGACAGTATTATCTAAAGAATCACATATGAAATATTGCAAATAGAAATAAAAGGATAATGGATACAATAAATTCAAGTAACGTGTCTCTAATTTTATTGAAACAACTATGATGAAATAGAAAAATATAAAGCAATGAAAAAGCTTTGTCAACCGCGGCATTGTTTTTTTAAGTTCTTAATTAAAATAAATTGTTCACTAGAAAACGTAATGAGACCCGAATGTAGTGTAAAATGTTTTGTGGGAGGAAATATAGTTAAACTTAGCTTAAATATATCAGCAAACTAACTAAAAAGTAAAGCAACTTTCCTGTACATTTTATTTTAGAACTATATATACTGAACCAAAAAAGAAACTTTCGTAAAGTATGGGGTACCACTTAGATGTACACACATATATACATGTAGTAGCTTGTAAAACTCGTTTTGTTTGCAAAATCGGACAGCTAATCCCCGTATAAAAGCCCGATATGTTTATTCAACGTAAAAATCAAGTTTCAAAAGGATTGAAAACCTGTACTAACATATCTACATTCAAACTTGGAGAAAGTTTCTTTTTTGTTTCAGTATATAACAATTTATTTTATAACGCTAAGAACTACCATGTACAATTTATATTAGAACTAAGCTTAACAGCTTATTTTAGAATGGCAAGGGCTGTCTTTTACATTTTATTTTTTAAATGGCCAATGAGATTTCCAAAATTCAATTTGTAATTTAAAATGACCAATGAAAATGTATCTTCTATTAAGTTTTACAGTTAATTTAACTAATTTTAGATAGCCTTCGGTCAACGTATTGGTCAAGTCACCTCTGAAATCGCATACATACATGTCATCAAATCAGGATATATCATTAATTAAATGACATTTAATATCTTAACACATGGTAAACTACTTTAAAAACATAAAGATTTTTGCCGAAGTGGGTTCATTTATTCATTGTTAAAGTGTAACCACAAAAACTTGTTGTCAATGGATCCAAAGAATGTCAGAACTTTGATTTTAGAGTGCTCGTATATGCTCACGATCTCCCTGTCTCAGACTCGCAAAAAAGACATACCGTTTAAAAGAAAATCTAAGAAAGGCTCTTTGCAGATGACTGCCTATACTGTTTATGTACAGGATTGTTCATTTATAGTAATATCACTACATTATTCGAAGCAACCTTTTTGAACGCGAAAATGGATAAATAAATTTTGATGTTATTTAAAGATAAAAAAAAGTTACTTGCTATGAATTCAATCTGGAAATCTCTATTGTAAGTACGTCTAAAGCCATCATTTACGAGTTGAAATAACTGCATTAATGACTCTTCTTAACCATTTTCTCGTTCCTATCCAGACATTTACCGTGTGTATCTTTTCAACATTTAGATATTTTGAACAATTGCTACCATCACTATTTCACTATGAATAAATTTGCAACTTGAATCTTTGATTTTTTTATTTCAAAACTGTTAAAAATGAAGTTCATTGTTTCAAACAATATCAAAAATACTGTCATAAGTTAACTAATAATACTGTCACAATTTAACTACATAGTATTAAGATATCGTCGCCCTAATTCCAGAGTGTCGTAACTCCAATTTTGAAAAAAATGAGTGTTTGGTATCAAAATGTTCGTAATTTTTTTCTCTATCTAATGGTAAGAACAACATCACTCTGGTTCTTGCCTGTAACAATATATTGAATGGGTCAGAGTGCTGTAAGTCCAAAAATTGTGATAAAAATACAGTCCATAATATCGTAACTTCTGAACCAATAGTTTGTTAAGATTCTAGTCACGTGATGCTGTTTTGACAAAATGGCTGATTTTTCAAGGTATCAGGAATGACATTTTACGTTTTATATTGCTTGATAACATGTAAGTGTTTAGCTTTAGATGTTATCTAATTTTCTATAGATTATTTTTTATTGAACTGTTTCAAACCTTAAAAAGAAATAATAACTACTCTTAACCCTTGAGCTAAATTCAAAGCACCATGCTGTGTTATGAAATTCGGATAGCATGGAAATCGGATAAATTGATACAAACTTCCAATATTCACAAGTATCAACTATTAATTGCTTGATATGTGATTGATTATATGATTGATTGATCAATGCTACCATTAAATACGGAAATTAGGTTTTGCATAAGATTGTTTATACTTTAAACTTACAAACAAAACTCATCAAATAGAAACATACTACTGCCATTGTTACATTTTGTACAATGTTTTTCTTTTACTATATAAGACAAATTAACGTACTGGTGCTAAGTGATTCGAATAAAATTTACACATATATAACTTTACCACTCATAACTGATGTTAAATTATGTTAATCATGTTTACTAGTATTTCATAATTCATAATTTCATAATTTTCATAATTTAAAAATTCTGCACTTTCATATAACGATCACAAACATATCAAAAGTTTTGCTGTCCGAGGCATTATGCAATCCAGTGTGGTTAACAATACCCTATGTAATATAGAAAGAAAGACAAAACACTTTTAAAATGGCAGAAGTATTCAGTCCTACATCACTCGTTTGTGTTCTTAAAACAGTACGTCCAAACGTCAAAGCCATATATGGTGGGTTAAAGTTGATAATATCCCTATAACAAAAGTTTAAAAGCTGAGACCGAGTTGTCTCAGATGCACCATTTAGCGTTGAATAAGAGACGCCATTTGCACAACAAATACTTATTAAACAGAATGCCACCCCTGTTGACCTACTCAGCTATTTTGCATAAATCAACAGGGTGTCAGTCTATACCTTTTTGTCAACATAATCTTATGCTAAAAATTTATTAAATAATTGGAACATGCAAAGCAAAATTAATCTAAGTTTCTAAGTTAAAAATAATTCTTGTACATCTACTTCCAACTCGTAATGTAATACTACTTGTAATTAATTATCAAGTGATTTGAACCTTTGAACTGAAAATTATCCATTACCAAAACTATTTTAAAAAAGAAAAAAAATATGCTGAGTTAAAAATTGTCATTCGATTGAAACGTAGAAAAAATGATTTTGTGAAAAAATGTTACAAAGTCTTAAGACCATATAAAACATTAAGGAATCTGTAAATTGTCATATTTGTTTCATCAGACGTTTGTTGAAGTAAAATAGAATTAATATTTGACTGAAACTCTTAGATATTGACCATTGCTTTTATACGAATGAGTAATTGATGTAAACAGTTCAGTTAAAACATTAATAGCAAACGTTTGTGTGTAAAGAAGTTGTATGCCACTTGATATATAAATACTTGAAGTAATTGAAGTACAGTAGTTCATTGAAACACCATATCCAGATCTGTAGCATCTTTGAAAATTTGTGAGCTTTAAGTTGTATTTCATATTTTTCTTTTTTTAAACAAAACATTAAGTAATGCTGTTCTTAGAAAAGTAAAATACATAGGTTTATTCTTTTTCATGTTACAGAGAAAGGAACTCATTGTTAATGTTGTTTTTCAAAGTTGAAGCAGTTACATCTTTCAAACATGTGTGTGTGTTTTGTAAGTCAAATTGTGTTCAACATGCTGTTTGTATGCAAGTAACAGTTATTCAAAATTGAATTTTGAATGAATTAATGATATAATAAACGAAACCAAATTTAAATCTGAATTCCAAATATTTTATAGTGCACAGTGTTAATGTGAAAATAGCATATTATATGATAAAAGTTTTGCTGTTTAATGTGGTAAATATCAATACAATGACGATGTTCCTAAATTTTGATTTCGTTTTGTTTAACTCAATGTGATACTTTTTACAAAATCAGTAATTTTTTTGTGTTCATTTGCAAGGCTCACTATTTCATGTAAATGGTCATCAGATAATGAAGCCCGAGTTCAATTTCAACCTTAAAATGCCTGTTCGTGTGCTATTCACACTTCACCGCATTGTCTGGATTTCTATTATGACTTTTAAGACTAAATTTACTGTTTTGATCCTGACCACATTACATGCTCTGTGGTGCCTAAATAAATGTGGATCCAGACTATTTGTTAAAGCATTCAATTTCTAGTTACGTCTAAATTTAATATAATTTAAGTATAAAACAGTAAAATAGTCATTATTTCACACTGTTTTAACTCCTAAATGTAATGATATTTTAGTGTCACATTGCTGTAACTTATTACAGCATTCTGGTTCTTGTATTTTTGTCAATAAAATATATTTTTCAGTGATTTTTCATTTGTTTTATTTTGATTTTTTAAAAAACTATCTACAGGAACTTCTTCGTAATTAAAAGTGTAAAAGTTAAAATAATTCTGCACACTATGATGTATTTTATATTAAAATTGGTTGAGTAAGTGTGAAGATATAGCCTGTTAAAACTTTGAAGTCGATTTTCTCAAAATGGTAAAAATACGACTTACATCATTATGGAATTAGGGCGACGATATGTACATGTACATGTATTGAAGAGGACCTTTATTTTAAGATTTTAAAACTATAGCTTTCGGCTTCAATCATTTTTTTGTCATCCATGTATCTATTTATTAGCAATTTTTAATCAACATGTTGTATTCATTTTTTAGTTTAAACGTAGTTTATTTCAAGCAATGAATACAACATGTTAATGATAAATTTACAATAAATAGATATTCGAACGTAAAAGGATAAGAGCCGAAAGCTATAAAGCTTATAAATAAAGATCTTCTCCTGTAAATTTGTATTATGTAGTTAAATTATGACAGTATTTGAATAATGTTTGAATGAAAACAATGAAAGATTAAGCTGGAATTTAATCACAGTGATTCAAAAGATCATATTCTTAAGAACATAAATGATTGAACATAAACTATTCTTAAACTAAAAAACTAAAAAGTCACACTGATCGAATCGTGAAAAATTGATATGGCCGTTTCATATAACCGATCACGGATTTATATATAAATCCGTGAACCGATGAAGTGGTGTTGGTAGTTTTCACTCCGGATCATGGCAGTAAGCCACATTTAATTACCTACCACCGCATTTTCCCTGGCAGGCTGTCAAGCAGTTAACCAGCACTAGTTGCCTTCACTTGCGCACAGAACTGAAACTTCTGTACATGCCATAACAGAGGTACAGTGCGAATGACAGTTGAAAGGATTTCATGACCAATCACAAAGAAAGTGACCTGCGCCGTTCGGGGATCGAACCCGGTCCCGAATCGCAGTCCAACGCTCTATCTCTTGAGCTAACCGGGTGACTTATAACCGTTGTTACAAAGCGGCTAGTTCTTTAATGGAAATTCTCTGAAGACATTTAAGACTGACACAATATATTTTAAAAAAAAACGATACATTCCCCAAATGTAAAAACACTCTCTTGGACCCCTAAATTTGGGGGACCCCTGGTCGAAGGATTAATTATGCAACATCCCCTAGTTTGTTTCATACACGTACTTGTGAATTTAAATCAAGTAATGATGATTTTATGACAAGATGAACAATGAAAACAGTCTAACTCTGAGACTGATTGAAAAGCCACTGATGCAGCTCGGACTTGACATTTAAAGCTACAGATGCAGCAATGGTTTCGGGTTAACTCGCCCGGTTTCGTGTTCTCTTAACCGTAGCAACGTATCATCGATTTGCAAGCTGTCAATTTCTTATTCATTGCTGTTTTTCTGCCGCATCACTCTTAAGTTGGATTTCATAGACCGGTAAGTTTATGTTTTAATTACATTAAAATAACATATTCGTGAGTTTTTTGTAAGATTTACACTACAAACGATGTGCCCGTAAGTTTATGTTTTAATCAAAATTAAATGACATAATTATCTGTGAAAAAAGGGTTATGAAATTAAATGAATTTTACCGAAATCTACACATATAGACTACTAAGTACTAAATTATGTGAACGAGCTGCATATTATTTGAATTTTATTACATTAAAGGAAAGTACATTAGAATCTGAGTCGGAAACCGGGTCAACAAAGAAAGGTGACAGTAAAAAACGTCGCGCTTTTAATGCACCATATTGCCTACCTTAATGTATAAAATTTATTCTGCTCGACCCAAAATTGATAGCCTTTGCCAGACCTGCACATCTGTGTAGCCTGACCAAGCACTTATTCTGTCGGCGGACTTTATAAACATCTTGATATCCCAAGAGTCATACAGAAAATGGTCAAAATTGAAAATGGAAAAATCAGTTGTTCGAAGAAAGGATATTATAAGATTTAAATAATGTAAATTTTACTTATTCATAGCTCTAACGGCTTTATCCAATTTTATTTTGTTGATTTGTTGTTTTGCTTATTGTTTTTGCCTGTCGCTTATCTATTTCTTTTTAAACTTCTTTCTATTTATATTCACGTATGTCTCGACCTATGTAATATTGAATATATTGTGTATGTTCATTTTAAAAAAGAAAATACATATACATTGTATCTTCAACCGGATGAACATCTGTTGCAATATTTTAATTAAGGTCGTAGAAATAAAATCAATATGTTGAAAAGAAATATAGCTATATGGAACGCATTATTTATTTCACTGAATAAAGTATCGTTGTTATTTTTACTTATTTTTGTTTTGTCTTTTGATATATGAAGTATACGAATTTAAATTTTGTAAAATTTTGAATTGTCTATTACGCATCAGTAGAAATAAGAAAATAAGGAATATTATTGCATAATTTTGTCTAAAATTTTAATGTATTCATTTCGTTTGCAAGCGCATGCATACAAAGTGGCCTGTTGATAACAGTGTCTGATTACTAACAAGTTTGATGTCAACTTAAAAAAAGGTATACCATTCTGAAAATTGGACAAGTACACTTTAGTAGGTGTTGTGCAATTATAGAAATATTTTAAAGTTATTGAGATTTCTTTGCAAAATAGCAAAATAACTTAAAAAGACAAAGCTGTGCATTTACATTTAAGGATTGAATGCGCTAATTAATTCACGTAAATAAAAGCTATGAAACGAGTTAATTACGACGATTTAACACCGGTCGGGGAGATATCCCGAGATGTTACCCAAACAAATGCTACAAATGCTAATCAATTGGTATTTCATAAAAAAAAAAAACACCAATCCATATTTAACCATGAAAGAAATGATAAAAATCTAAATCAATAGAACATAGCCTCATATCTTTCATAGTAAAATCTTTGATCGCTAACCATATACACAAGTTCGCTGAATTATTTAATATGCCATGATGATGTCTTTTTTTCTTATAATCCCATTCTTAATTATTCTATTCTATATAAATTATACATATACTTATCCCGACTGTTTGACAACTTAGCTAAATTTTTCACATTACTGTTCAATGGTAGGAAATTTTCATAACACTTTTCTTAGAAACTGCTTGTCACAGCCTCTTGATATTTGGCATACAGCATTGACACATGGTCCCATATTGTGGGATTTGATTTCAGGTCTGTCGCTCATCCACTCCCTGTTTACTGACTCACATTAATGGTCAATGGTAGGAAATTTTCGTAAATGAGCCGTGTCACGACAAAACCAACATAATGGGTTTGCGACCAACATGGATCCAGACCAGCCTGCGCATCCGCGCAGTCTGATCAGTATCCATGTTGTTCGCTTACAGAACCTTAAACAAGTAAAGAAACTAATAGCGAACAGCATGGATCCTGATCAGACTGTGCGGATGCGCAGGCTGGTCTGGATACATGCTGGTTGCAAACCCATTATGTTGGTTTTGTCATGCCGCGGCTCAAATGTTTTTTTCAGCAATTACTTATCTCTTTATATTTGGCATACAATATTGGCACATGGTCCCATACCGTGGGATTTTATTTCAGGTCTGTCGCTCATTCACTTCCTATTTACTGACTTACTTAAATTTTCGACATTAATGGTAAATGGTAGGACATTTTCGAAACAGTTTTGTCAGCAACTTATTATCATAGCCTCTTGATATTTGGCATAGAGCATTGACACTTGGTCCCATACTGTGGGGTCTGTCACTCATCCATCTCCTGTTTACTGACTTAATTAGATTTTCGACATTAATGGTCAAGGGTAATTTGTTTTTCGTAACATCACTGCCTCATGATATTTGGTATACAAATGCAACCCGTCCTTTTCTGTTTTTGACCCATTTTTAACTTTCATCATACCATATCACATTTTTTTCAGAAGGATATACATGTAGAATAAATTTGAATAATAACATTTTTTTAAGTTAAACACAGGTTGAACTTTGAGCAAATTCATGAAAGTGAAGTTATGCTAAAGTGATATCTGACGATTAATCAAATATACAAAGAAAGTTATAACACAGGTGTAGTCACCCGCGTAGATCCTTTCCGTTTTTATGATATAATTTATCGCTTAGAGCATCCAGCATAAAATATGTTATAATTGAAATGCAAAAAGTAGGTTGGCCTTGAATGATATGATTTAGGTAAGCCTTAGAGTGTAAAAAGGGTATATTTGAGGGCGAAGTAGAGCATGGAAAATGTTAGTCTTTGAGGTTATGAATTAGGTTAGTTTATACAGCAACAACTAGGTTTTTAAAATATAGCTTTTGAAAAGCAAAAAGTATATTTGCCTTAGATGATTAGTGCTGTATTGTAAAAGAAACAAAAATAACGGAAGCTGAGCAACACCAAATTAGATTAGCTTAACAAGACAAATATAAATTCTTATGGAAAATGCATCAACTTGATATAATATGGAAAATTTTGAAATATCTGACGCGAGTGAAATAGGTTCTGTATCAGCCTCAGTGAATGATAGTATATCATATATTCATATAACTACATGTACTCGTATATATATGTTTGTTTCAGTCGATGGATACGTTATTTTATACTGTCGATGGCTGGAACGATCTTAATATTTACATATTTTACAGTTTATATACCCCTGTCTTTCAAACGAATGGATTGTCTGAATTGTTGTCGCCTTTGCATGACATTGGCCTTCCCTCGTAAATTGTCTGCCCTAAGCCAATGAGAATGGAGAATTTAATGCCACATAATAAAATGTTTCCGTCATATAACATTTTTTCTTTAGAATTCATTTTGTCAAATTTCGATTTCCCATACATGCGCGCGTAATGCCCCGCCCCATCCTCTAACCATCCCGAAGAGTTAGTGTTATCTTTCGAAGATATTGCATTGGCAATATTTAAAATTAATCTGGTTCGCGTAGAGTATGTAGGTTATTCGTTGCCAATAATCCAGCCTTTGAAACTTGACAATGCAAACTTCGGTTCTACTAAACAGATTAGTAAAAATCTAATTGTCGATCCGAGAGTTACATAATGCACTGGTATTAAGCATTTTGATTATCTCGATTTGATAAAATGGAAGCTGTTAACATGCGCAACTTAGATAAATTGCAAACTGTATTTATAAATGTATAACTTCAAATTTGCTACATGTAGAAATGTAAACGATAGAACATACACAATACGTTTAATGCTGTGCATCAAGACGTTGAGAATGTAACTGCACTCAGGTTTACAACATTTACATTCTCACCGTGGGGAACGTGTTACAGTATCGCGCTTTCCGGTTACAGTATATAATTTGAACTATTTTTGTACCAGCAAGAGTTCTCTTTATATTCTGCTTTCGTGAAAATTGGCTCCGCCTTTTAATTTTGGTCTATTTCCGTGATAATTCCAAATATGGAAGTTGCAAAATCGTTTACAAATGTGTGTCGCGTTAGAATCACCGTAGGGAACGTGTTATATATACTGTAACATTGTTTATTTTTTCGAACAGGAAAATAGGTTCATCTGGTCATTTACTTTTATAAACGTTTCTAAACACAAAGGACTAACGTTTTGTAGGTTTACTTTTTGTAGGCATGCTTAAATAATCTCGGAATTGGAGAAAATGCGTTAGTCTCTCGATTCAAATTGTCTGTCAAATCAGCACATTAATGAGACAATATAAAACTGCGGTGCAGGGTCTGAAGAAATATACGAATAGATACCGGATCCAGTTCCTTACAAACAAAGCACAAGCACATCTTTTAGAAACTGAACTACTTGTAGTATGGACCGGAATAAAATCACCTACCCGTCTTCCCCACAAATAGTCATCCATCTTGAAAATTCTATACTGTTACCAGAAAGCGCGATACTGTAACACGTTCCCTACGGTGATTCTAACGCGATTAACATTTGTAAACGATTTTGCAACTTCCATATATGAAATTAACACGGAAATAGACGAAAATTAATAAGCGGAGCCAATTTTCACGAAAGCAGAATATAAAGAGAAGTAACTCTTGCTGGTACAAAAATTGTTACATCAACTGCATTACAGTTGACCGCGCCCCCATAAGCTTGTCCGGAGCATAAGTCAGTCATTATAAGTCGGATTTACTTCAAACTTGGTATGCATGCTTCTTTTGATGACTCGAAGTGCAGTGCACAAGAACCGGTAGTCTGCTCTTCTTAATGTTTGAGTTATTGCCCTTTAATAATTTTCATACTTTATTTTCGTCCGGGCCATTCCTCCTAAAGTATAAAAGCTATTGACTTGAAACTTCATAGGATGGTAGATCTAATTAAGAAAAAGTGCAGTGCACAAGAACGGGTACCCTGCATTTCTTATTTTTTGAGTTATTGCCCTTTGTAAATTTTCATACTTTGTTTTTGTCCACGCCATTTCTCCAAAAGCTATGGACATGAATCTTCATATGATGATAGACCTTATTAAGAATAAGTGCAGTGCACAAGAACTGGTACTCTGTATTTCTTATTTTTTCAGTTATTGCCCTTTGTTAATTTTCATACTTTCTTTTTGTTAAGGCCATTTCTCCAAAAGTATAAAAGCTATACTCTTAAATCTTATAAAAATGATAGATCTCATTAAGAAGAAGTGAAATGCACAAGAACTTGTACTCTTCATTTCTAATTTTTTGAGTTATTGCCCTTTGTTATTTTTCATACTTTATTTTTGTCCTTAAGTATAAAAGCTATGGTCTGTAAACTTCATAGGATGATAGATCTCATTAAGAAAAATGCAGTGTACAAGAACCGGTACCTGCACTTCTTTATTTTCTTCATTTTTGTCCTGGCCATTTCTCCTAAACTATATTTTTCACAAGGCGACACATCCGACTCGCGGAGTTCTAGTTTATGACACACACCACTATTTGTTGATATAAACGATAGGGTTTGTGTGCCTTCAAACGTAACACGGAAATACTCTTACGGAAAATCTTTAACATTCAGCAAATAGTACTAGAATGAGATACGTGGAAGTCTCTTTTGGCAACACGAATAAAGAGAATTGAACAGTAAACATGTGCATTCTTTTAATTTAAAGGACTATGTTGGGTTGTAGAAAACCCCACATTTATGACCAAGTGTATAACCACGAAACAATTCAAAGTTTACTATCGATAATTCCGTTGTATAACGAAAAACTTGAATGTGTCCCATTTAAATGTGGAAATAAATATCTAGTGTATCCTAGCATCTCTGTTTACCTCCAGTGGGAGGTATTTTGAGTCATAGGATGTGATTTAGTCTTTTATTATTAAATATATATAAGCTGACGTAGGTTAAGGTCTTTTTATGCATTGTACTGAATAATTAGCAACTCTAAAATCTGTGTATACATGCTGTCAATAGCTGTTACCTACAGACTTGCTGTCTATCTGATCAAAAGCAGAGAACTATTTTTATGTACATAAAATACTACACAGAATATTTATTAAGTTTTGTAAGTGATGGCTTTCTAAGAGATAAAAGTCATACCTTAGAATTAAGGTTACTAATGTAATAATATGCTACTACTAGGAAATACAACAGCCAGAATTTGGTCTGTATTAGTAATAAGTCGTATCAAAATCTCTATCAGATATTGACTTGAAACTATGAAAGTGATAAGGAAGCAGCTTATCTGTACAAGTTACTCATTCATATGCAAATTGGAATCCCCTCAGTAAAATTTATTTGTCGTTGAATATAGTCTTATCAATAGAGTTTACTTTCTCGAAAAATATTTAACCTCAGGCAGTAAGTAGCCTGGTGAGACTTATTATTTTTTTTTTAGTTTCTTTTTCTGGGAAATGTGTTTCTACAACGTTTTAAAACTTATATGCCTATAATCCTTTAAAGTCCGCTGATGTTGATTGTATAAAGGCATAGAATGGCAATCATGCAAGTGAATTATGTTTGGTGAATAACTAAACACCTAAAAGGTGTGGTAAACGGAAACTACGCCGCTTCTTGTCGCCGACGGTAAATACCGAACATGAGCGGATAAATAGGTTTATTTACGATGATGTAGAGGGCGGGAAAATGGGCGGATCTTATTTTATCTCCTATCGAAGAACGTGTAAAGCTGGATTATGCTGATTCGAATCATGATGGTTCGACAATGTAAAGCTTAGAATGTAACTTCTGTTTTGTCAGCGTATACACGGACAATGAGTATTCGAACACTTGGTATTGCTACTATCAGCAAAACAGTTAATGTTTTGTCGTTAAACAAAATGTATTCTGTCGAAATGCATGTTTACAATGTTAAATCGGCAAACTCAATCCAAAAATGCAACATTGGAGTTTACATACATAGAAATACAATTGTAATTTGTCCATTAACAAACTGTTCAACTCAGATCAACAAGGCTGGATTTTTGGCAACGAATAGCCTCCATAGTAGAGTTCCTACAAACGGTACCTCTGCTTGTAACCTCTCACCCGAACGACCATTAGCAATGTTAGTGATGAAGGGCGGGGTCGCACCGACCACCCATGTACTACTATTCTAGCACAGAATAGTCAATAGATATGCAAATCACACTATGTATATAAGTATACATGTAACATGTATACATGTATGTTAAGATCGAATACAAAGTATGTATACATGATATCAATGGTAACAGTAAATAATGTGATTTAAATTTTTTTTTCTAAAAAAAAATTTATATTAAACTGTTCAAAGGAGCGAGCCTGTAGCTGTTGCAACTAACATCTTTTCAATAGACAGATGCATGAACAGTCCTGTGGCAAAAAAGGTGATTTTAGTTTAGCTATTACATGTACATTTTTGTAACAATGTTACTTTAGTGATTTGTAATACCCGATACTGTATGCAATTTGATGTTTTAAAATATTTCTAATAGATCATCATCATGGTTTTACGAGTTTGTGTGATTGGTTGTGGAGCGGCGGGGCTAGCTGCAGTGCGACACCTGTCGGCAAGACCAGAAACATTCCAAGGTGTTGGGTTCGAAATTGGCCCGGATGTTGGCGGTACATGGCGATACACGGATAGCATTGGGGTTGATGAAAATGGCTTACCAATACATTCAAGCATGTACAAAAACCTTAGGTGAATAAAGATGTGTATGATACAAATAATTAAGTATAAATTGATATTCTGAATAATATTATAGTATGCATAATTAACAATATAATATGAGATAATACATATATTTAATTTTCTAATAATGATTTTGAAAATAAAGCAAAATTTTCCGAACTTCACGCAATCTTTAATTAATATTCGACGTCGACATTTTTAAGAGCTGATGAATTTTATCTTCACCACACAAACACACACACGCACCAACGCACGCATGCACACGCACGCGCACAACAACAACAACATTAGAAACTTAATAAACTTATTAAAAAACCTTTGTGTATGATTTTCTTCGGTAATAATTTCAATCTAATTTAATGTTACAGTTCAAAATGTTCATATTTTGGTAAGATTGCATTCATAGATTAATAGCACAAGACCAACAAGCACACAAGCAAACAAAATCAAGTGAATTTCACATATGTTACAGAACTAACATCCCTAAAGAGGTAATGGGATTTCCTGGTTTCCCACTTCCGGATGAACTTCCTTCGTTTTGCGATCATCAAGATGTCTTAAAATACCTACAAGATTACGCCGACCACTATGAGATTCGCAAATATTTCAAGGTCAGTTGAACAATCGCAACTTTTCTGCTAATGCCGCCAAACTTTGGACAAGAACTATATATTGACAAGTAAAATGGTTTCCTGCGGGGAACATTTTTAATGATATAAAGATATTTCATTTAACTATTTTCAACATTGTTCGGGGGGGGGGGATAAATCGGGGGGGGGGGAGGGTAAATAAACGTTTGCATCAGGAATATAGTTGACAATAATCGATCAATATAGAAGAAGGTCTTTGGTGACTGGTGACCGTTGAAGACCGGAGAAGGTCGAACATAAAACAATTATTTATTTTAAGAAAATTATTAAATAGGCCTACCATTTTATGAATAATTCCGAGCAAAACAAAAGTAAACACACAAGTTTACGCATAAAATATCTCTATTTATTAGATGCCACTACGTATATTTAAATCTTGTAGATTTTCAGTATAAATAATTTATTGTTTGTAAAATTTGAGATAGATATTAAAGAAACATTGATAATTTTCAAACACATCATTCAAGTTTTTCCACCTTAAACGGTAAAAAATTATAGAAAATTAGATATATCACGTAATAGTGTTTTGTTCTTAATGAGGTGCAATTCGGACTAATTCCCTAGAGGTAAATCCGTAACTTACCGGCAAACGGTATTTAGCTAGGTTTTCGAAGTCAATTAACCAATCATGTACGGTTTACAGATCACATGCTCCTCCATGTACCGAAAACAGGTCACGTGCTCCTCCATGCCTCAAAAGTTAAACGCGTACCAATACCCTGCGGTCTGGACCAATACCCTGCGGTCTTCAGACCGCAGGGAATAATCATTTCGAATCGCAGTTCGAAACTGTTCGTATGATCAAATCGCAACTTTTCGGCCCTTTCCGTCAGTCTTCGGATAAATACATTATAGATAATAGCTGAGGACGTTTCGACATTGTATGATCACAGGAAGGTCCGAAGAATGGCGTTTTGTAGAATCATTTGTTTTCTTGCATTCGGAACACACCCGAGGTTTGACGAAGAAAGCCGGAAAATTGCGTTTTGTTTTCCTGTGATTGAAATTGATTCACATTGATGGCAAATATGTTCAATTAAAAATTCCTCACGGGTAACGAGCTAAATTTTGTTTACAGTTCAATACCAAGGTTGACAGTGTCACACCACTTTCTTTAGAAAATAAGACAAGATGGAAGGTTGAATACTCTTCAGTTAGCTCGGCGGCAGTAAAACCTGAGACCGGAAGTGAAGATTTTGATGCCGTAATTGTATGCAATGGGTACGTGTAACCAAGACTGGTACAGCGCATGTTACAAAATTTTGTTGCTGAACTTTTTGTATGAGCACGTTTGCATAGAGTTTATTCTTATTTTTAAAAATATATGCCGTATGACTTTTTGGCGGTATATTTTTGGGCTTATTAGAATTCCTCAAAGCTTAATTAAGCTTGAGTTAAAGACTAGACATAGGATATCGTTTCGTATATTGTTTTACGACACCAATTTTTGGTACGTTTAATTTGGAAGCTGTCCAGCAGTAAATGAGTACATTTTACATGCGTGGGCACTGTCTAGTATACTTTAAGATACCAAAGACGGCTGCAAATAGTACCAACGACCGAAATAACCCTAACTCCTTTCAAATGTTATCAAAAATCCCTAACAATCGTATCTATTTTTTCTTCTGCCAGTTATGTTTCCTTAAGAAAAGTACGAAAATACAATAATGAAGATATGAAAATTTAGATATTCAAATACTGATTGAAGAACAAAGTATGATAGCAATTTTTTTAATGACGGCGTCATGACGTAAGCGACATTCGACTGAAGTAATGTAGTGTTGTTTCCATGCTGCAACAGAATATACCAATTCGATCAATGCAGTCCAAGTGTAACCGACACATCCATGCCGTCGGATTATGGTATTCCCTGTTCGCTATTTAGTCAGATTTTGAAAATGTTCCTAAAATTATTAAGTTTTATCCAGATTGAAAATTGAATACATGTATATCCATTTATGATATTTACAGTGGTAAGAGTTCATATGATCACTATCAGACATTACCAATACAAGATGAAATGAGCCGCGCCATGACAAAACCAACATAGTGCGTTTGCGACCAGCATGAATCCAGACCAGCCTTTGCATCCGCGCAGTCTGATCATGATCCATGCTGTTCGCTTACAAACCCTATAACAAGTAGAGGAACTGAAAGCGAATGCACAGGCTGGTCTGGATCCATGTTGGTCGCAAACGCACTATGTTGTTTTTGTCGTGACGCGGCTCATTTGTCTTCATTTCAGTCATTACTCTGTACCTTTGCTTCCCAAACTGGAAGGCTTGGAAGAGTTTCGCGGAACAATTATCCACAGTCATGATTACCGGGAGCCAGAGCAGTTCAAAGATAAAATTGTCGTCTGCCTAGGTGGAGCAGCTTCCGGTCAAGACATTTGCCTAGATATTGCCCCAGTGGCTAAAAAGGTAAACGTAAATATATAGGAATATGATGTTAACGCATTTTATGTTTGTGGCCTTTGAATAGATCTGTTTTTTAAAAATTATTTTCCTTTTTTTTGTTTCAGATATTATTGAGTCATGACAGACCAAGGATAGCTTCGCCTCTGCCAGAAAACATGTTTCAACGACAAGGAATCGCTCGTCTTACACCTTATAATGTTGTTTACAAAGACGGTCTCGAGGAAGAAGCAGACGTACTGTTATTTTGTACCGGATATCGATACAATTTCCCTTTTTTGACAGAAGAATGTCAACTGAAAATAATCGAAGAGAGAATTACCCCGTTATACAAACATATCATACATACAAAGTTTCATACTTTGTCTTTTATTGGCATGTGTAAAATCATATGCCCGTTTCCACAATTCGATAACCAAGTGAAGTTTGTGCTGTCTTCTCTTGACGGGACGCAGAAATTACCAAGTGCCGAAGACATGGACCAGGACACGGCGTTAGACTACCAAAAGCGGCTGAAGGAGGGACTTCCACATAGATACGCCCACTTCATGGGACCACGTCAGTGGAAGTACAATGACGAATTAGCAAGACTGGCAGGGTTCGAACCTATACCTAAAGCAATACAAATGCTGTATGATGAGGTTCACAGGTCACGTGTCAAAGATTTACCAAATTACAAATCAAAACAATACCGTATAACAGGTGATGAAAGCTTTGAAGTAGTGGAAGCATAAAATAATTCAAATTAACCATTATTTATATTTGACTATCGCAAATATTCAAATAATATCCTTATTACGTTGATCTCGGCAACTATAATCCAAGTGACTGGAAAATTTTTATTAAAACGATTCATAACGTGAACTCCCATTACCTTCATTTTGTATATACACTGCTATTAAATGTGCAAGAAGTAGGCCGTATTTGTTGATCAGTTTTAAAGTTGATCTTTACAGGTAATCTTACATCAATTGTTGTTAAAAAATTTTATTTGCTAATTTAATACATTTATTTTGACGGTAATACCAATCATAACTCTTTTGATTTCTCGCATTATCGAAATCGAATACAACTATCGTGAACCAATGTACCATACTTATGCATTCATTAAAATGACGGTACTTTAAATTTAACATATTGTTATTTATTTAATAACACACATCAATACTTAAGCTGTTATTTGACTAACACCCGTCCGACTGGCACGAGTCAACTTGCTTTAAGAAATGTAATTAAATTTTAATTTAGTTATCTAACTGTTAAAACCAATTAAGTCCTGAAACGGATTAAAGCCACTTTTACGACGTGTTAATAATACATGATGACCGGCAATTAAAATATACTATGAAACGTGTAAATCACGAGTGACAACATCTCACCTTGGTGTCGCTGACCTTTGATCAGTCGGCTGTTTTCACACTTCGACTAATTGAGATGAAAATATGTTGGCCTTTAATTGGCGGGACCAAATTTTCTTTTCGACTAAACAGGAGTCTCGGTAAGTCAAAATTTGACCTAAGCGGAGTTAAAATACAAAGATAAAGAAGGAAATTTGGCGGGACTTTATAAATTCTTCGACTTACGCGGAATTTTGAGTAAAGCGATTTTGACTTATTGAGAGTCAACTGTATATACTTAACATATACTCCCAATAAAATATCCTAGATCATTTCATTTTTAAACACACACACACGCACGCACGCAGGCAGGCAGGCACACATATATTGATCAGTTTTAAATTGTACTCTTACAGGGTCTTATATGCAGTTGTTGTTAAAAATACTTCTTTTTGCTGTATGCGATTTACTTTTGTACGGGTCAATAGCCAATCATAACTCATTCCGCCCTCTCCGCCATTTTTCAAAACAATAGCAAAGCCATTTTGTGCTATACAATATATTTCCATTTTCTGTATTTATTCATTTATATAATTACTGGTATTAATACATTTGTGTATTTATTTAATAAATATTTATTCTAAAGAATCATATTTGGCAATAAATGTAATATTGCGTATTTAATCAAATAATGACTTTTGTATATGTATCACAAATAGCATGTATATATAATTACAGGATCGTATCTTATGTTCTGAATTTACTACGACCCAACAATCCATTTGAAACTGTCTACCTGGTAGTGCTGACCCGCGACATATGTAATAGCTTTTGGTAATGTATATGAATAAATGCATACGTTGCAAAGTGGTCACCGTCAATTTCTTTTGATCACTTACCCCTTACTGCTCGTTCGATGGGTCTACTTCATTGCCTGATTGGGTCTGAAATAACGCACAAAATATGACGTCATCTTCCAATAAAAAATCCGGAAAGTCAACGCAGTACCGTATTCTAACCATCCAGTCGAATAAAATTGCCTGTTGCTATGAATATATATGATACAGCACGTTTCCTACGTCGATTTTCATTGGATAATCTTAAATATTTTCGTCGGATAATCTTAAAGTTTATAATAAACATATACATTGTTTTTAAGCCGATTTTAACTAGTATCTTGGCGGTCGGTCCACCTAGCCGGTTTTTCTGAATAACTCATTTAATCATTACCAATTTCCCCACATGTGACAGCAGACTACATATCCCACATGACTTCTGAATCACCGATGAGAGACAATTACCATTAGACTCAGTGTCCTAGATCAAACCTCAGACGACAACGGTCAAGTTATGAATTAATGAATTTACATTTTTCATAAAATAAAGAAATTGTGCAATATATAGAGGATATTTGTTTGTTTGTATGTAAGATGAAATTTTATTTCATCGAGTGGGCTTTGAAAAACAGTATTACAACAGAATACTGTTTTTAAAGTTCACGAGATGAAATAAAATTACATCTTGCACAACAAACAAACAAATTTTGTTTTTATTTTATGCTTAAAAACAAGTTAAAACGAAATTTCATTTAATAAATACGTTAATATTAAAATCTATTTTCCCCATTGAGAGCCTCATTTAGTAGAATTTCTCATAAAATACATGAAGTCTTTGGCTGAAAAATAAGTTCGACAATCAACGTTAAATGGCGGTGATATTATTTATTTTATTAAAAATATGAATGATCGCTTGTTTTCTATAATAAAAACAAACAATTCTAGCAGTAGTAAAAGTCCAACCGTCCATCCATATTTCTGTTACTTGCTGCTAATTTATATTAGACCTGGCTTTGTTAAATGTAAGCGGCCGCCATCTTTGAAAGTTGTGTATTTCACGGGAGGAAAATAATTGTGTTTGATTCAGAGGGATATCATTTGGATTTATTTGTCATACACCTTTTTAAAAGAAAGAAAACTTATTTTAGGATTGTATAACAGACAATAAATAAGTGCTGATAGAAGTGTAAACATTCAAAAAGCGGCTAGGAAAAAGGAAAACTTGGAATCCTAACGAACGCTGGGTTGTTTACTTATTCTTCTACTGATGGCTGATGGCTGTCATTGCTTTTCATGTTTTCATAAAGCATAGTAGAATACTTACATATGCCCAAATGTCATCAAGAACAGTTTTGCATGTGGAAGGAACATATTTTTCAAACTGTAAAAATGAAACAAAAAAATTAGAGAAGATATTTGATGATTGGTTATTTGAATGAGTAGATGTAAGTTTTCTTCTTTTTATTACTTTTGACACATTTTCAGCTTTTCTTTTCTCTGAACAGCCTGACATTGTCAGCAAAAATAAAATTGTGGTACCACATTGGGAAAATCTTAAGAAAGTAGTGTCGTTATTGAAAAATTTGAAATTATATTTTGATAATTTTCACTGTGAAATTATCAAATAGAATTTTCACGGATAAAACAGCAATCCACTGAAAAGCATAAAATAAAATGAGTTCGTTTCGATTTTGACAGGACTGTTACACGGCAGTGCATATATAGTTGCTTGCCAATACTAAAATAACAGATCAGGTTATTATACTGAATACCGTTTAAACTGGGTTATATAACCTTAGATATTGTATAACAACGACCTTAAACATTTCTTGTCAATACTTACGCATCGTGGGTAAGCAAATTTTGTTACTTGACCACAAAAGTCAACGTACACGGTCAAAAAAGCTCGGCTGAAGTAAGTTTTTTAGTAATTATTTTTCTACTGAGCCAATTTAAATTATGCTACATAGCCTACCGACTGCGGCAGTTCCGATGCTTTCCAAAAATGTATTTGGTGTCGTCTAACATTTTGCATTTTATGAGAACAAATAATATTTGCAAATTGTCGATGACAACGTACACACTATTGTGTAAAAGTGTTGATGAAAATTTAATAAACGATACATATGTCAGTTCTAAGTAAAATTTCAGGTCTTAAAATAGATAAGAGAATGTTTTAATAAAAAAAGAACTGGTTTTCTGCTGTCAATTTTTGTATTTATCTAAATAGAACGCCAACTAGCTTTTTGTTAAAAAAAACACCTACTCCGAAGTTGCAGCCTCGTGTTCAGACCACTATCAAACTAAATTGTGAGTGTGTACGTTGACAATTTCTAGACTCTATGTGTACGTTGACAATTATGTAAGTTGTTCAATTTTTACAGTTATAGGCCCGTATTCAGAATCTATACTTACACTCGCCCTCATTCAGTAAATCCCTTATAATTGCCTAAGAGTCGAGACAGTCCTCAACCTTCAGTAAAGTGGTATTCAGATTATAAAATCAGT